AAACCCTAAACCCTATAAATCCGAAACCCTAAACCCAAAACCCGAAATCTAAGTTCTGAGACTCGAAGCCTCAGCTTCGCTCATGGGACTCGGATACTTCGGCAGGCAGCCGTGGCAGCCCGAGAGCTCTGGAGAAGCAGTTCCAGGCGCTGAGCTGCCATGAGGGCTCTAGAAGTATAATTATTATATAACCTGTTGTATAACTTATTATAAGTTATACAACAGGTCCTGTTGTATAACTTATTATAAGTTATACAACAGGTTATATAGACACTTTCCATGGGAAGCTATAAAAACAGCTGAGCTAGTGATAAGCTTGGGATCTCTGAGATGTTGAGTGCTCGCGGATCTCGGATTGAGATGAGTGGATCATGCAGTGACGCTGAAGCCTCCAATACTATATGATATTTATACTATACTATACTACGCTGTATTATATTATATTATATTATATTATATTATATTATATTATATTATATTATATTATATTATACTGTACTACATTATGTTATGTTATATTATATTATATTATGTTATATTATATTATATTATATTATACTGTACTACATTATGTTATGTTATATTATATTATATTATATTATATTATGTTATATTATATTATATTGTATTATATTATATTATATTATATTATATTATATTATATTATATTGTATTGTATTGTATTATATTCTAAATATAAATATAAATACATATATATATATATATATATATATATTGTTAGTGGGGTTATAAGTCCTTTAATACTACTTAAATCCCCATGAACTACCCATGAACCTCCAAGTAAGGGGGTTACTGGCCCCCACAGACTTCGGTCCCGCTTTTGGCGCTCAGTCCTTCACGGAATCGCCAGCATGGCCAAGGTTCCTCCATCGTCGGGGTGGATGCGCCATCTCCTGCAGGCGAACCCAAAGGGTCGAAGTACTAATATGGTAGCTACTTTGTAGGTATTTGGGCCCCCGAAGTATATACTATACTATAACTCGGACCGTTTTGGGAAAAAGCCGGACCTCAGGCCCGAGGGCTATGCTACCCAGTCATGCCTGAACTGTATCCTTGGAGCTATTGAAGTATTGGGTGGAAGATTCCATTACCCAGATTGCCTTTCGATGTTACTCCTCGGATTCTTCTGGAAGTTCTCAACATGCAGGCTGCCTGGCAGGTTTGGGCACTGATGCGCTGGGGCCTTCTTTTAGACCTCCCACTTGACTACCCTCATCCCCCCTCCCTTTAACTGCGCGACTCTGGAAGGCCAAGGAGGTGGGTTCTGAGTTGTTCTTGAGGTGTCGAAAGGCATATGGGTGGTTGTCAAAATTATGGTCCCTTTTTGGGTCCTTACTATAATACGGCACCTGATATTGAGGGTACGCCAAAAGGGACCATAATTTTGACAACTACCCATATGAGTAGGAAAGTGGCTTCAGGCTCGCAGAGCAGCATGGTCGAGGCTGCCATCAAGGATGTTTTGGAGGTTGGGAGTGGAAGAGCAGACATTTCTAAACCCATTTCGGTGATTATGTTTCTCTGTCCGCTTGGGGGAATACATATAATCATAGAACATACATACGTGCAGACAGGCCGGCCGGCAGACAGGAAGACAGACACACGGACAGACACACAGATGGACACACAGACACACGCCGACTCACACACACACACACACACGCACAGAGACAGACAGACAGACAGACAGACAGACAGACAGACAGACAGACGGACGGACGGACGGACGGACAGACCGACGGACGGACGGACAGACAGACAGACAGACAGACAGACAGACAGAGACACGCACACACACACACGCACGCATAGACAGACATGCAGGCAGACAGAGACACACACACACACGCACGCATAGACAGACATGCAGACAGACCGACAACCAGACAACCAGGCACGCGCACAGACGAGCAGACCTACCTACCTACCTACCTACCTACCTACCTACCTGCCTACCTACCTACCTGCCTGCCTACCTACCTACCTACCTACCTACCTACCTACCCCTACCTACCCCTACCTACCTACCTACCTACCTACCTACCTACCTACCTACCTACCTACCTACCTACCGACCTACCCACCAACCGACCGACCGACCGACCGACCTACCGACCTACCGACCTACCGACCTACCGACCTACCGACCCCTACCTACCCACCTACCTATTTATCACAATATGTCTGCCAACATAGCAGCGAATCCAATCAACTGCATGATCAGATGAAGCGGCAGGGCTTGCAACACTCCATGTTTGTCCCTGGCTCTTTCTGTTCCTCAGATTTTCGGGATTCCTCGCGTTTAGATACACTGGCTCATGTATGTGCGTTTTGACAGCCATGTGAGAGCAGGATGCCCCCGATCTTGTAGTCACATAGCCTAGACGATCTTAAGTGCACAGCATCCTCCATATGTCAACGCACATACGTGCGTGCCCATGCTCGTGCACACTCATTGATGCTGCATGAAAACGTGCACACATACACACACGCGCAGACATTGGGAGAGGAGGCGTGCACAGCGCACATACATGTGGAATACTTGCATCATGCCATTATTCCGGGTGTGACTGCACGTCATTGCTCGGAGGAGTGGAGCAAGGTCTACGACGCTGCAGTGACCGCTTTCCAGGACACGCGGCTCTGGCGTCCCGGTGTTTAGAGTGAACAGTTGATGTTCGGGTCGGATAGGGCCTGCAATTCCGGAGGAATGACAGAGCCTCCAAAGCCTAAAGCCCCAAAGGTACGTGTCACCGACACATCGACATGATCCCCAAGCCAATAGAGCTTTCGCCCGGTACCAGGAACCTCGCCTAGGCAAGTCCGAGAGTGAGTGCTGAAAGCCCCAACAAAAGTCTGTCGAGAACGGGAAGCTGTTTGCAACCTTTGAGGGGGGGAGGGCTGGGCCCCGAAGAGCTTGGAGTCCTGCTGCCTGAAGTGGGTCATGTTTTCCCGGACGACACTTCAACAACACCCCCTGTCACTCAAGCTGCCATTTGGCTCAGGAGGCTCCGAAAATCGTGTGTTCAGCCTGCCGTGGTGTCATGGTTGTTCTTGCGCTCAGCAAGGAAGCCCAGAGAGCCTCATTTTTCGTCACTTGTGCAGCCGGTGTCCTTGCTGGCTATGTAGTTCTGCAGAGGTGGTGGCGCTCACGGAAGCTTCCGCCAGGCAGCATGGGATGGCCACTTCTTGGCGAGACTTTGGCATATGTGTCAGGTCAGGAAAAGTTCGTTGAGGCACGGCTTCTCAAATATGGTGGCACTTTCAAGTCAAACGTACTTTTCGTTCCAACGGTTTTCCTTGCAGTGTCGGAGAGCAATGCCAAGCTGATCCACTCAAAGCGTGATCTCGGCTGGCCGGCTCACTTCAAGAAAGTCGTCGGAGAGAGCTCCGTGCCCATGGTCAACGACCCTCTGCATAGGCGACTCCGAAACATGACCACGCGGGCCTTTACGAATCAGCAGCTGGACTTGTACCTGCCCACCCTGCAGGCATTAAGTGTCAAGTATTTGAAGCAGTGGGCCGCCGAAGGTGAAGCACCCAAGGACCTTTACTTCTCAATTAAGAAGTATGCTTTCGAGTGTGGCCAGGCCGTCGTCCTAGGGTCCGAGATCACGGAGGAAGAGCTGGACCGCTTCATGCATTTGTTTGACACAGCCATAGCGGGGATTGGTTGCATCCTGCCGGTGGACCTCCCTGGCTTCCCCTTCCACGCTTGCATGTCCGCGCGGAGACGGCTGGGGCAGGAGTGCCAAAAGGTGATTGAGAGGCGCCGGGAGGCATTGCAAAAGTCGCCGCAGGCGATGTGCATGCTAGATGCCATGTTGAGCTCGGACCAGGTCCAAAGTGACCAGGAACTTCAGGACTTCTGTGTTTCAATGACCTTTGCAGGCCATGACACGACGCTGGCATCGATTCACAGCACACTTCGATGGTTAAAGGAGCATCCGGAGCTAGCCAGCAACTTGAGGAAGGAGGTTGACACGACTTGGGATGGCCAATCTCCCATCACCAGGAGCCTGCTGGAATCCATGCCACAGTCTCGGGCATTCATACAGGAGGTCTGGAGAAAGACGCCACCGGTGATGCCCATCGTTCGGAACCTAGCAGAAGAGCTTCAGGTTGATGGCTATGTGGTGCCGAAAGGTTGGAACCTGAGCTACTACCCAGCAGGGCAGTTCAGCAAAGTGGAGATGTGGGATGAGTTCCTCCCTAGCCGCCATGTGGACCACGAGGGCCAGTTCGTTGACACTACCTATGAACCCACGCTGTTCGAATCATTTGGTGGAGGCTCTCGCATGTGCATAGGCTACAAGTTTGCCAGAGACGAGCTGCTAGTTTTCCTCATGGTCTTCCTGAAAAGCTACGACTTATCGCTCACTTCGTCAAAGCTTATACCTTTTCCGTTCCAGCGTTATGGCCTCGAGGGTTCGTTTTTTGAGCCCTCTCGCGTTTAAAATGAGCTTAGGGGGCTCAGGTGGCTTCGACAGAACCGGTTTTACAGTACAGAGACTAACCCATGGATTTAGACGTCCAGGTGCAGGTTGTCACATGCCTGCATCATTCGGGCTCCGAAGGCTCTCGAATGCCGCAGCACCGCATGGGGCCCTGTACCCTGCGGAACCTGCTCATGGGCCTCGTGCCAGCATCTCGTGAAGATCCGTGTAGTCTGACATGTCCAGAAGGGAGTTTGCGAAAATTAGAGTACCTTATTTTGGGGTCCTTATAATAAAGATCCTATTATTTAGGGTGCTTGATCTCTTTGAGCATACTTTATAT